TTCTTTAATGGATGCTAACCCTTCCCCAATGTTAGCTATACTACTAACAAGGGTCCTTCTGTCCAATAATCCTGTAACTTTGAGGAGAAGATCTCCATTTTTAGTTGCAGTAACTCTATTGACTATGATCTCAGCCTCTTCTGGCTCGAAATCAGTCCTTATCTTCTTTAGGACTTCGGCAAAGCTTTGCCCTTCTATGACGTCTTAGGTACCTTAACGAGACGAAGGTACCTTAACGAGAATCTTCTCCTTTTTTCTGACTATATCTTGTTTCCTGCTACCACCACCTAAGGACAAGCTCCTAGCTGCTTCTTCTTAGTCTTTTTTTATGGGGATTTAGTCGTCTCCTTTGTGATCATGGATTGTGAGTTCATAATCCTCCTTTGTTTCCTCAACAGTTAGCTCTGATCTTAAGTTGCTAGTGTATTCCAGATCCATCTCGACGTTGTTGCTGAAAAAGCTGACAGCACTGACATCACTCATTGCAATATAGTGCTTTCAGCCTGTCTCATCGTTGCTTCAATTAAAAACTGGAAAGGGTATGTAAACCAGCGCAGCAGCCTCCCTGTTGCCAAAAACGTCGCCTCTTGCTTGGGCCGGCCGGCCGGGAGTCGTCACTCTCCCTCAGTCCTACCAAGGAGACTGCCTTACAGCCCTGGTGTGGTGTGTAAAAGTGTTTCATAGTAGGTATATGTGTATAGTGCATGCTTATTGTAATTCATCACGAGTGCCCAACAGTCAGATCAACAGGAACACGAATCCCCACGAATCTGGTAGCCCCAGCTGGCGCACCGCCATACTCTCCTCAATGATAGTAAGCCGGTATTATTCAGCCAAACACGTTTTAATACAGGTCTTCCAAAAGGTTACGTGTTAAGTTTAAGTTTTTTCAACGTTCAATATCTAAAAAAAACGGTGTTGTGAAACGGTCTCAAATTTTATGTGTAACTTTCCAATATCATTAATAGCATCCTGTTAAAATTTCAGCAAGATCATACAGAAAACGCTATGTGTGATGAACGTCCTTGAAGTGTTCGGAGCACTCCGACAACCATAGAACCATTGAGGCGTATATCTATATTTACAGTCTTGGACATAAATATAGATATAGAGAGCGCGCGGTGGCTCAGTCGGCTAGGTCGTGGATTAGCACGCGGGAGACCGTGGTTCGATTCCCGGCCAGTGCGACTTGTTCGGGCAAGTACCCCCTACCCCCCCCCCCTCCCAGTGATGGGAGGCCTCCCATCCCTCTTCCCTTCCTTCTCCAAAGTGCTAAGTGCCCTGTGTAGTGCCCTTATCAAAGGAGCCGGACGTAAAGCATTATAATATAAAAAAAATATATAGATATATACCTTAATAACTGTTGGGAGTCTTGGTCTTGGGTACAGTGGGTCTAGAGACAGTGCAGCGGATGGCCGCCATTTATAGCACATGTCAGTGGCGGTCAATTTGAAATGGTAAATAACATTTAACATAACGCCATTCCACAATGCCATTCTACAATAGCGCTTTCTCTGCACTGCGCAAGTGCGTAAGGGCAGCGCAATTATAGAAGAGGCCCTACAATGACTTAGGCACAGAACTGTATATCTATATACACTGGAAAATAGTGGGAGGTGCTGAAAATGGGGGAGCCAATCACTGCACTGTCCCTCGACCCACTGTATAGTCTTGGGTCGATGGGAGCACTTCGAACACCCTCATCGAACAAACTTAATAAGAACGAGCAGTCTCAGTCTCACCAGTCTACATTTCTTGTATATGTCTATTTGTACACTCGAGACACTATATGTATATCTGTCGGAACGGTTTGTCTACATACGGTCAATGATGTCCTGTAACCTATAAGATAATATAAGACTTACTATCACTTAATAGGTAAGATTAGATAAGAAAAAAAGCACGAGCCTTCTCCTTCTCTCGTCGTGTTTGAATTAAACTTTCAAACTTACCACTTTAATCACTTTATGGAGATTAACCTAGGACAGTGGTGCTAGTGATTCAAGGTGTAAGCCGACTCCTAGCGCCCCTAGCGTATTTTTGATTATTTGTAGAGTTGTAGTTAAAAATGACATATTTAGTTAATTTAAGTGATGTGATTGCAAACGTAGGGCCAGGTTCTCAAAAATATATTGAGTAATATATATTAAGTAAGTAATCTGATGCCGAAAAGTGTGCGCTGCATACAGCAGACTTGGATCCAATCTGCTTGATTATATTACACCTTCATATCCACTCATTTTACGATCAACAGATTTTGGAAATTTATGTTGGATTATTCCTACTTCGGGATTTTTTCTTTGAAAACAGTTGGGAACAAAGCATTTATAAACACTCGTCATTATTAAATCAGTCTTACAACATTACTTGATCGAAAAATAATAAAAACCAAACATTAAATTTAACTTAGACAGTTTTTATACGTTCAAATCATTGGCAGCTGGACCCAACTCGAGTTCAGATGAAATACGCTAGAAGCGTCAGGAGTCGGTTTACACTACAGACTACAGTGGGTCGAGGGACAGTACGGCGGATAGGGTCACGCGGTGCTGATTGGCTCCGCCATTTTCAGCACCTCCCACTATTTTCCAGTGTATATAGATATACAGTTCTGTGCCTAAGTCATTGTAGCCATTGTAGGGCCTCGTCTATAATTGCGCTGCCCCTACGCACTTGGGCAGTGCAGCGAAAGCACGATTGTAGAATGGCATTGGAGATTGGAGTGGCGTTATGTGAAATGTTATTTACCATTTCAAATTGACCGCCACTAACATGTGCTATAAATGACGGCCATCCGCTGCAGTCTGCACTGTCTCTAGACCCATTGTAGTTTTCAAAGAGAGCATTCCAAATGACGCAACAGTGTCACGCAGTCCTATTTAAAACCAATACTAATGTGTCGCGTCATTTGGAATACGTCCACAGTTTACACATTGAACCTCGGGTTTAATTGCGTGCTTCGATGTACGCAATACGGTTCGATATTTACCGTCACACCACCAACCTTATGACCCTGGTGTAAAAAATACATAAGGTGGGCTCTTCAGCCAGCCAACTGATCAGCCAATCAGGAGGCTTGGAACAAGCGACTTTCCATATTGGATTTTCCACCAATGAGCGTAGAGAGCGCGTTGTTCAACTATATACTGCTACACGTAAACAAGAGTACAGAGTAAAGAATTTCCTCGATAAATAATATGTTTAAAATTTGTTAGGTGCACTGTTTTATGTATAAATATAATTCTAGATGATGATCTGATTATTTGTAAATATACAATGCATAAAGTTCATTACATATTTCAATAAACAAATTTTACAATTTTTTTCTTTTTTGAGAATTTTAACATCAGAAGTCAGTTTTTTTGTTCATCTCTGGCAATCTAATTTACGTTATCGTACGTACGAAGCTTTTAACTTAAGGTAGGACCTCCGAGTACCGTACTAGTCAAATTACTGCGCGAGTTCGAGTTTGACTTCGGCAGCAGTGTCGATAATGCAGACAACGTGTGTACCCGCACCAGTGCGTTAACACGTACGTCTACTGTGACAGAGTAGTTATTTTTTAGTAGTAATTTTACTGTTCGTTATTTTTGTCAGTAAAGTATTTTTGAAATAATGAATAAACATCAATAAGATTTTGCAAACAAACTATCCAGGCACTCGTTACGTCAAATTCTCATCGATGCCTATGATAAGGATATACAATGTGGAATCAAAATTTTACTATCAACGAGCATTAATCGTAAAGTACGAGTAACGTCTTCCCTTGGTGTTGTTAATACTATAAATAATACAATAAAAAATGTAATTACTAGTTTGTAACATTTACTCATTCATTATAATTTAACAAACATTAATGTGATTAAAAGCTGTGTTCATGAGATTGTACAAAAAAAATCTTATTAAATAAAATTTAAGTATAGTATTAATTTATTACTGATATTCATTATTTATTATCAATTTTGTACTAATATTCATTCATATTTATTATTCATTAACCGATATNTCAGTCAGATCTGGGGTGATGCCATGAAACGAGAGAGAAGATTGTTTTTGATGTTTCGTCCCGAGAGCACGCCAGGACTCTTCAGTAAGGCTGATGATGTGCTCCCAGCCTTAGACACCTATATATCAGTGGGGATGACCTACATCCATCTTAAACGCCGTTATATATTAACCAACGTGAAATCCGGGCACTTGCGAAAAGGTCAAGTTGCATGGTTAGACACCTAGCGGATGGTTAGAGAAGGACGGAGAGCCAAAGAATACATGTGTGTGAGAGGGTCCCCACAATGTGACTACTACAGCGCCGAAGTGCCTGTACAATGAAACAAAGTGGCCACACAGTAAAAAAGCTTTACTAGCGAATTGTAAAAATTTACTAAATGAAATAATGTAAAAGTACAATTTTTTTTGCAAAATTACAAAAATTTTCGTAGTTGTACAAAATTTTTGTAATTTCACTAGATTTTATGTTGGACAGAACTGCGACCCATATTAAATGTAGTAAATATACAAGTCAGATTGTAGTCCATTTTACAACTTCCATAGTAATTTTAATACTGCGTAATAGTAAGGGTGAGATTACATGGAGTCTGGCAGTCTGCAGACTGGCAGAATCGCGCTAAGTTTAAATTATGTTTAAATTATAACATCTCAGAATAATTTAGTAAAATAAAGGAAAAATTGTAATTATTGTCAGAAAAGAATAAAGGCTTAGTTACAATCAACTTCAATTACAATAAAACGTGTAAAATATTATTTTATAACTTTTTTTATAGATTTATGTTAACATCGCACAGTCGGTCAGTAGGGTCACTGATGTAACCTGGTATGTTTAACAATATGTAACTGTGACAAAACGTTTTTCGTCGCCTTTTTTTTCATAAATATCAGTTAATACAGAAATGCAAATGTATTACGATAATTATTTCTTTGCTTACGTAACAGGTTTTAAATATTAGTATTGAAACATATTTTAAACTTAGTGCGATTCTGCCAGTCTGCAGACTGCCAGACTCCATGTAATCTCACCCTAAGGCGTACATATAACTTCTATCCTTTTTTATATTGTCCATTTCTTTCCTTCTCCTTTGAAGTGCTTTTTGAGTTTATGTAGTCGCCCCCCCCCCCCTGACCTAGCTGTCTCGTATTCTCTCTCTCCTCCATAGAAAGTCTTGTTCATTGTATGTAGGTATACATAAAGTTTGCCCGGATCGACTCCATTTTACCTCCTCCACTCATTGGTAGGTATACCTACATTAAAACGTACTCCAAGGGTAGACACTGCATTGGGTGCTCGTTTCGTATATAATCTGACTTCAATAGATCGACTCCAGAAGGGTATATATTCACAGTTCGTAAAAGGGTAAGTAAGATTGTTACTTATTGTTTTCTTGAAAAATTAAGTGAAAAACATACGCAAGACGCCAAAATGCAATGTTGCGTACACGAGGAGGCTAACTGTAGCCTTACCGGGTCCTTTAAGTAGTGGCTTCTCTAGGCTAGTGTAAATTATGTACATTAAGATAAATTTATCATTCGTAACCGCGTAATATCGGGAGCTGATGAGAGTTATTTACAGAAAGACATCAAAGAAATCTCATAGCACCTAATTGCATCGGCTATCGCGGCGTCTTTCTGGAAAGGTTCATATTAGAGTCATATATACGTATATGTGTGATATTTCGTTTTACACGGCTAATGCCAAATGCCCAGTATTTGCCTTACCTATAGTAAGATTAGTGCCGTGAGACTAAGTGTTTAATTCTTGGACCAACTTTTTAAGTACATACTTATCTTGTCGACTTTAACGATTACGTTACCGGCTTGTATGTGCCTCTCTTCTTAAATCAATAGTAATCTCATTCTTCTTGAGTGTTGTGAATTTGCACACTTTGGTCTCGTTAATCAATGCATTGAAGCCATTTTATAGGTGTGTGAGTACTTCAGCTTAAGACTGATATGCTGAAAGTTATTTAACAAAATCGTCATCTTTTCTTATTCTCCATTAGAAATCATGGCTTTCAATCGAGGGGGGGTCAAGCGGGATAACTTTGGGAACCGCAACTTCAACAGGGGCATGGGTGGTGGTGGTGGTGGCGGTGGTGGCGGTGGTGTTGGAAACACCGGCATCGCTTCAAGGATTGGGAATATGGGTGGAAGCGGAATTGTTGGTGGTGGCATGAGTCCTTGGGAAAGTGGAATGATGCCTGGACGTGGCATTTTACCAACTCCTAACAACAACATTTCTCTTGCCTCGCCACAAGCTCAGCTTGCCATTGCTAGTGATCTTATTTCCAACCTCCTGCGTGGCCAACAAGCTAACCAGCCTCAGGTATTTTTCTTAATTGATTTTCATGTCTTGCTGGCAGTACTTAGATAATTACAACATTGTTTTTGTAATAACTGCCAGTAATGACATTTCAAAACATGCTGTGCTCATTCGTTTTGAAAAATATTTTTCCTCATCTAAAGGTGCCATCATTGCTTAGTTTGGGCAATAACTTCAGTGGTCCCTCTCCAAACTTTTCTAATCAGCAGAATTTCAATCAAAACCGTTTTGTTGATCGAAATATTCGGCCAAACATGAAAAACCAGCGAGTCCAGCCTTACAACAAGGTAAGCTTCATTACTTATCAGAGTAAAGGAAAAATTAATTTTTATTAGGAAATTGAACTTAATTATTTCTAGAAATTAAAAACTTGTACAGCAAGTTTTAAAAACGAGTAAACTAGTAACAGATATTTGAAAAAGTTGTTTATTGGTGGTATTTTTTCATATTAAAAATTTTGCGTTCCTGAATGTATACATTTTTTATTTTTTTTATTTTTATGTAATTTTTATAAATTACAATCATCAACTTAACCAGAGGAACACTTTCGTTTTAATTTCTTTTGAAATAAACAATTTTTATTAGGTTTTAGTTTTCGATTTTTTCATCTAAAATTTAATTAACATTGAACTGTGGGATATTTGAAGCAACTATTGCCTGTAATATTATCTCACAAATCTTTTAATTTTTCTATTGTAATCTTCGTTTTGGAAAATTTACTTTTATAAACCAAAATGATTTCATAATTTATCTGTAAACTACACAAATAACACACAAGCTTTGTACTTGTGTTACATTATGTGCGGTTCTCAGTATTTTTCAAACATACATTTTGAAGTCTCCTTTATCTGTACCGAATATTCAAAGAGATTTTCAGATGAGCATTATGTAATATCAATATTTAATTCTAATAATAATTCTTTTAAAACAGAAAAAGTACAATGCAACGAGATCTCTTGAACATCTCCTAAAGTACATTCAAGAGTTACAAAACTCTGTATGTCTCGCATGAGATGATATACATATATCTAATATTTTAATATCTTTTTAAAGCTGTAATGTAGTCTTGATAATAAACATCATGACACTTGTTTCCTTTCTCATGCCAGTGCGGAATGATCGAGCCACTACCGAAAATTCTTCCCTATCCTAGACTGAAAAAATAATTGCAAAGGCACGATTGCCTTTAATCTAACTTTCCTTTCAATCATCCTTTTAAGCTAAAATATAAAGCTAAGCCAGCTTGGTTCAAGTTTACTTTCCACACGTGGTACATATCGTCACTTCTCATGAGACTGTTTGGTCATTTTGACCCATATAAATAGATGGGTAATCGAGCCCGAGATGGAGTTGTTGGGCGGCGTGGCCCGCAACAATCTCGTGGCCCGTCGGGCAACCAACGCCAGGGTGGAAACCAAAATCAGCGGAACGATAATAGGTCTTCTAAAGCAATTACTACCCCTAAGCAAACTCAGAATCAGACCATCAAAAAGGAAGAAAAGCAGGAAAAGACTTCTGATAAGACCAATGAAAAAGCAGAAGCGTCTGTCGCTTTAAGGTAAGCTTTTCGGAGATTGCAAAACAAGTTTCTTCAATTTTTCAACTATGTTCTCATAGTCTTCTCTTTTGAACCTTCAAGAGAGAGAGAGAGAAAGAGAGCACAAAAATTCCAACTTTCTTCTTTACTCCAATGCTGGGTTACTGTTTTACTCAGCAATTTGATTTTTTTCATTTAATCAAACATTTTTTGTCGCTCATCCGCGATACATCTGATCATTCGTGTACATCAAAATAATTTTAGCGTTTAAAGCATAAATTTTTTACATAATTTCAAATGTATTATTTGACGGTTGCGTGTTGTGCTTATTAATTTGTGCAAAAAAAAAAAAAAAATTACTCTCATACATCTGTAACAGAAACCAAGTTAAGTGGCAGTTTTCATAGTCTGATTAAGTGACTAAAATTGAATTGTTGGTAAAATTTATTACCAGGCCTGCCGACGTCTGTTTAACAGCATCAGGTATAAAACATGTAACTTTATTCGATATTTTATATTACTATTGGTGCACATACTTATGTTATCTAGTACAATGTTCTTATCTCGTGCAACGACGAACTTTGACTAACCCGTTCTATGCCCCTGTCCAATAAAAGAAAAAGCCAGCAATGCCTCGTTTCATCGAATCATCCTTAAATGAAAGGGGTAGACGAAACTTCGCTTCAAAGTATTCACCACTTGGATTTCAAAGTCCCATCTGTGCAGCACTCGTTAATTATATTTATAATATATTTTCGAAAACGATCACATTACGAGGTGCTAAGAGAAGACATGCTCGTTTTATTCTTCGTTGTGCAGCTTGTATCGGGAATAACAAAGCTTAAAATTTTATGTTAGACAAAAATACCAAACAATCCAAATAAGATTCGCGATTTGAATAAAAAAAAATTGATCAATGAAGAAAAAATTTAAAATTTCCTGCAAATGGCAAAAGATAGTCACAAAATCGATTCAAGCAATGACAAGGTAGTTCTTACAAACATCAGAAGGTTCATGTGGGTTTTAGATACAGTTATAGATCAATGTTTATTCTTTTGTTTATCATGTTTTCAAAGTACACCATGATTTATTTTAAAAAATCTGTAAATATAAAAAAATCTGTGACAAATTTCCTTACACTAGACAATTTTTTTGGTACTACTTTACAATTTAAAACTAGTTATGAAGTAAAGGATAATTTTGATGAATAGAACATTCAATTTGTATAAGAAGCAATAATTATGTAACTAACGTTGCCGACACAGCTCATCCCTTCAATAACAGTATTTTAAAAGACAAAAATCTGTTATTATCTGATAAGTATAATCTAAAACCTATATTTGAGGATGTATGACTGGATTGTTACCATACAGTCTATGTAAGAACTACCTTGAATGCATTAAGTGAGTACAAACTGGTATTATTAACGCTTGTTGTATTCAAGCAGTAACGAAGAGAATGAAGAGTCTGAAGAATCCAAGAAACGTGAATGGATGGACGAGAAGAAGGAACTCTCCAGTGACAGGAAGGATGCAGACAACAGCTCGGGCGAGAGGGATGAGGAAAAAAGCCCTAGCAAAAAGTCTGCTGCCAGACACGCGGAGAGCCGCTACTCCGACGTCCCCATTAGCAGCATGTATTGCCATGTCTGCAAAAAGTACATGTGGGATGGATCGGTAAGTGCAAAAAAAAAGTCTTTTGTTGTCTAGTGGTAAATTGCAAGCATCTCTCTTGAACAACTCGAATTTTAACTGTACCAGTCGTTTGAAAACCATTTACGTGGACGTGCTCATCTATTGATGATGGAAAAACTTGATGAATCTTACAAGCTGAAAGTGGAATTGATGAGACACGACTTGGGTGTTGCTGAAGAACAACGCGAGCTGATTCTTAATAATTCAAAGCGTCGTGGCAAGAAGGTAGGCATCAGCTCACTGTAATCAATTGAATTATTTATTTTTAAATATGCGAGCTCAACTAGTTTCTTTTTCGGGTGCAAGTAACAAAAGTACAAGGATACAACAACATATTGCAAATCAGTCGTGTGTAGGAAGCAAAAACTATGTATGCTTAGGGTCCGAAACATAAAAGTTTCTTCTGGCCATACAGTACAGTACAATTACAATGACCCTTGAACTTTTGTTAATTGTACTCTGAAAAGAAACTCAGGAGATTGACGAAAATTTATTTTACACTGAAAATATTTTTTTATTATTACTTATTGCCTACATATTGGTGTAATTAAAAATTTAATTTTAATTACTTGTAAACTACTAGAATCTTGTACAACGGTTAATAATATCGCATGAGTAGGGATATTTTTTTGTATTCTACGATTTATTGGTTACTTTAACGCAGATTTCCGTCGATTTGAGCGTAAGGGAGTACTGTACCATGTGCGACTTGAACTTTTATGGCACCCTATCAAGTCATCGTAAAAGCGAGAAACATCAGCAGTTGAAGACCTTCTTGCATCCTCGCTGCTTCCCATGCTCCAAAGAATTCCCATCGAGAATCGAGTATGATGAGCATTGCTTGACTCCAAGTCATATGAAAAATGCGGCCCAGAACGAGGAGCAGAAAAAAAATAAGAAAAAAGGTAATTTTATTGAATCAGTGGTCTCTAGATTTATGCTTAAGGCTAATTTATGTGACAATAGTAGTATTCGTTGAACACTCTGCTTAAAATTAAATCTCAACTTATTTTTTTTCTCCCCATTTCAGACAAGCTTTCTAAAGGAGAATCTGACGTTCGAAGTGCCGAAGACGAGGAAAAAGACATTGGAGATTTAAAACTTGATCAATTGGATGATTCGTCTATTGACGTCTCAGATTTTGTTACCGATATTCCTGAAGGTGAAATAGAGAGCAAATTGAAAATTCCATCCTTCAAGCTTGTCAGATCGCATAGTCAGTTAGCAGTTGGCAGATCATTTGTACAAGAAGTTACTGGCTATAATTGCGAAAAGTGTCATCGTTTCATGCTAACGGAAGAAGATTTGAATGCTCATCTCCATTCCATTACTCACTATCGTAATTTCGTGGCTGAAATTAAATCATTGCAAGCTGCTGCTGAAAATGCTGGCAAGGCTGAAAAGGAAGGTGAAGAGGTAAGATTTATTAAAGTTGAATTTTTTTTCACCCGCATTCCCAAATAATAGGTATAATCTTGGAATGTATGTATTTGTAGAATGAAAGTAAAGATGACAGCAAAGGTGACATTGAGCCTGATGAAAAGCGAGCCAAGCTGGAGAACAATGTTGATAAGGATGATGATGCCAATGAAGATGAAAAAAATGAAGACGAAAAATATGATCCAGCTGAGGCAAACGGAGATTCAGATGAAGACAACAATGATGATAACCAAGATGCTCAGAATGATGATGAATCAACTGCAATATCCATCAATGCAGGTGAAGATAACATATTAGAGGAGAATAACGATAACGACGAAGAGGAAGAAAGGGAGGAACCGCCGCCGAAGCCAGTGCAGCAAACAAACGCGCGAACTCCAGCTCGGAGTGCCGCGAGTCAACGTGCACGTGGAAATCGTGCACGACGATCACGACGATAAAAACATTTTGTCAAAGCAAGCAAAATATCGAGCTAAACACACAATACAATTATAAATATTGAATACTTACTCTAGTCGGTCGCATGATATTTTTTTACGTCGTAAAATAATTCATTTTTATGATTTATTTAGAATGAAAATTTGGCAAGGCATAGTTTTTACTCGACATTTATGACAAATTTTATTACTATTTTACGAAACTAGTATGTATTCTAGTAAACTTTATAAGTTTGAATGTCAATTTTTATCATTGCGATGGACTAGCAGTTTATTTAGGTACATTATATTGATGTTATGTAACCACTAATCACCTTGAATGTAATCTACCCAATATCCATGAATTTATGTTATAATATATACAATTTAATGCTATATTTTACGTACCAATATAGAATTCTCATTCCAATAGAATACGAATTTCTGTATACATTTAGATTTTGAAACAAATAAAATCTGTGTATTGTAAAAATTCTTTTATTAATTTTAAAATACAGTTGTCACCACCTACTTTTTATTTTATAGATCAGTTGCTTTAGTTGAGTAAAAATAAAATTGTGAAACAAAAAAATATTTGATAAATTACAAAACTAACGACTATCGTCAAAAGCAAAATTTAATTGTACAAAATTATGCTAAGCTGTAGTTAAATCAGTTAAATACTAAAAAAACTTTTTCCGACTTATATTTTGGGCGTTGTTCATAGTGTAATGCTTTTTTTTAAATAAAATCTAAAACAGCTAAGATTAGAATTTTACAACAGCGTTAGCGATTTTTGACAAAAAAATTTATTTCAATTTTTGGTGGTAATGGCACCCCAACAAAAAAGTGTACCAAGCTTTACAGCAATTTGTTAAAATCACTTGATAAATCTTAATGAGAGCTTTTACTCTTGATAATTTCTTAATATATTGTTACGTGGGAAAGAGATTGGTAAGGAGGTGCGTCGCGAGAATGATCAACACTTATTACCTCAAAGACTTTTATTCAAGATAACACATTTGCAAGGCAAAGTCGCACGTGTGTTCCCTCCCAAGGCTCGTCGTGTACTCCCCCGAAAGACTCTCCTTGCTCGCTCTTCCCTTCTCTTGGCTTTAAGGGCAAAACAAAATAATTGTTGCGAGATTTAAGGAGAGTGAGCGCAGTCTCCCCTACTTCTGTACCTTACAACATTCTGAATATTTTTAAGTCCATTAAACTTGTATACAGATATGAAATATTAGTCGCATTGTCAAAACCTGCATATACCTAGTTAAGATCCGCGTTTTTCACTTCAATTTCAATGAGAACAGTTTTCAATGGCCATATTTTCGTGATTTTTTAATTTTTGGTACCTCGGATTAACATTTTTTTCATTTTTTTTTTCTCATTGAACATTGAAAAACTTAAAAAAATTTATATCCAATTAATTAATGATAAATTGTTTTTATTTTATTGAAAAGTTAAAACAAAATTATAAGAATCGCTCTTTTGACACAATAAATGTGGTAGTTACAAAGTGATAGTCAGTTAGCAATTACGAATATACGTTTTTTGTTAGTTCTACGTTTATAAAATAATGATACGATAACAAAAATAATGAATAAAATGCTAAAAATCTAATACAACAAATTCACAGCACTTATTGTTTTTATCTTAAAATGAATGCCATTTTTGGGCACGGCTGCTTCGATACAAGGGTCTTACTTTTTGGACCACAGTTAAATGAGCAGAAATGCTAAAATGAGTTTGTGCCGAATATTTTATTTTACATTATTTTATATTATCAACTCTGCGTGTACATAGTATACGTATACTTAACTAATAACAAAAGGAATGAGCACTTGAGACCGCAAATGACTAAAAACAAATTTAACATTGGAACAAGATTTTTCTCTGTCATAAAAACTTGTGGATTTACAGAAGTATTCGAGGAAATACTTGAAGCTAAAGTCGTGTGATCATTTAAAAAGGTTACGTTGCAGAACAACCATGTTGAAAAATACTTATAAGTACTTAAAAATTTTCTATTATTAGAAGCTGTATTTTTTTTTTTTTTTTTTTCTATAAGCGACCCGTTAAGAGTAATGTTTTTACAATATTATTAAATATTTTAAAAACCGTAATATAAATTTTCACTGTCGTTAATATTTTTTCAATATTTTTTTAAATATTATAATATGGAAACGGTCAGTACAAAAGGGATATTTTATCGTTTGTATGACAGATAAACTTTGGAGTGGAATTTGGGCTGACATGTCTATTGAAATGTACTTAATGAGTCTGATGAAAGTAAGAGGAGGTTTTACTGACAGTATAATATCTAATTGGATATTGACAATGCCTGTTGTTACAGAAATTGCCGATTTCATCACACGTTTTTGCGAGTTTAGATCGACATGTTGATGCTTCGCCAACACGGAATACACGGATCAGCAGAGATGCTGAACATGCTGGTAAACTGGAAAAGAGTATTTTAAATCTCATCATCCGTTTGTCGCTATACAGATAAAATTTTGAGTATCAGTTCGGGAGTTAAGGTGACGATAGCATAAATTGTCATAAATCTTTCGAAGCTGGGCTGCAGGTGTTGAGGAACTCAGTTGACAAGCCTTTTAACAAAATTAAATTTGAAAAAAAATTTTAAGTTTTGCCCTTAAACTCTTGCACTTCTGTTTAAGTCGATAAAAAAAAACAGCTATTATAAATCCAGCTCTTATATTTCAAGGAATTACTGTTACTATGAAGAATAAAGAAGAATTAAGGCAGTACTTTTGATACGAACTGACATCCTACTCCGTATCGATTTTTGACGACGGCTCTCTTAGAAAAGCTCAAAAATCAAAGTTATTTGACAATTATGTCCCACTCAATGATTCCAAAAGTAAAATTGACACGCACCTAATCGATGTGGGATGATTTCTGCTACATAAAGTAGCGTGGTAAAAAAAAAAAAAAAAAAAAAAAAAAAAAAAAAAAAATCAAGGAGATGTTTTAAAACGATACGTTGATTTTATTGAGTGCATGATTATACAACCAACAGCATCATTGTTTTCGCTGGTTATCCATCAACACCCAATCTGTTTACAAAAAGCGTCGAAAGATAACGCAGATGAACGTTTGAAACTAGCACAGAAATTATTTTTAACGACGCAACGAGCGTCAATGTTAAGCAAGACGCGTTTTTAGCGAACGACAATGATAAAAAAAGGCTTGTAGCCGCTTTATGTGACAAGTTACACGATAAAGGTTTCCGAACGGCAATTGTTGAAGAAGATACGGATTTATTGATTGTGCAGACAGCGATCGATGAGCCAATAAATAAAGAAGTCGTTATCATTGCCGAAGATGTATAGACGGACTTGTAATCCATACTACAACTCGCGCCAAATAACACAAATATACATTACTGCATAAGCCTTGTTAAGGGGGTGAAGCCGAATCAGTGTATGATACTGACAGTTTCGTGTACCGTACTTTGAAAAAAATAATTCCTTTTATTAGTATAGAATTAACGGGCCTGGGGCCCAATTACAGTGAATTAATAAGGTGTGTTGCCGAGCGCGGCACACAAAAAATTAAACAGCGTAGTAACATAATCATAGAATAGACATAACTCAATTGAAATTATAAAAGATAGTGTACACCGAAGTAACTTAATAATAAATGCACAATGTGTTAACATAATTAGTAATTGAGAGTTGTGTTAATTTATAACATAAATTTGTCAAATTTAAATAATTAATTAATTAAATTGAGATTAAGCGAAATGTTAAAATACTAAATTTTAAGTTTTAAGTTGATTTTTTACATTGATTTTCTGGTGGTGATACCACGTCTGCTTTTTACAATCAAGGCAAGGGTAAAATTATTTAAGTCTTGGATAAAAACGAAGATTTACCGAAAGCAGTTTCAGTGTTTTATTCAAAAAATAGCGATACACAGGAATTACGAAATGCTGATAAAATTACTATGGCTATGTGTGGCGTAAAAAAATTTAACATAAGTCTGAATGAGTTTCGTTTCAATTTTTTTAAGAAATGCACCTTCAACACTAATTTCAAATGAGAACAATTACCACCAACAGAATCTGCAGCAGCCCAGCACTATTATAGAGTGTATCATCAAGAAATCCTTCGTCTTGGGGTTGGAAAAAAATCAAAGCTCGGCCTGGACCCGATTTTGTTGCCAGTCCAAGCTTGTATCTGATAATATACTTAAGCAAATACGCTGTTCATGCAGCAGTAGGTATAAAACCAATTGTGGTTGCGTTAAGCAGTACATCATATAAGGTGCTCAGAATATTGCTTAAACTGTTGGGGAGTCGACTGTTTGAACTGCAAAACAGACAGGTATACGTAATGAGATCGACGAGGATGCTGAACAAGAAGAAGTTGTTACCATCCGAGGTATCATTTTATTAATTATTATTTATTAAAATAATCGTTATTCTTTAAATTCAAACGTTTTACTTAAATTTGATTTTTAAAATATCGCGCGCAGCTCCGACTTCAAACTTTGCACTTATTAGTACTACCGTTAGAGAATATATACATGTATATATTCTCTAAGGCACTACCACCTACCGCTCGCTAGGTGGTAACTGCTAGTTTCTGGTGAACATCACAAGTAAGAAAGTAGAAAATTAGGAGGATAAAATTAGCAAAAAAGCATGGTTATTTTTGGGAAATTGCTATTAGCGCGAAAAAAATCTGGGTGGTAGTTAAACGGTTTCAGAACGAATCTAAATAGTTTTAGACTCCAAATTGTCTCAGCTAACGGCCTAAAAAAAATGGTAATAGTGGTCAAAAATGGTTTTTCGCGTCTAGAAAAAAACTGGAGAGTCGGACAAAAAAGTTATACGGGTTAAAAAGATGCGCAATTTTAAGACGAAGAAAATGAGCTCCGGTGGGATAAAATCGGTCTAGACGTTTTTTCGCAATTTGCAAAAAAGTGCTACGTAGGACCGTTTTAAAAAAAAAATCTATATCTCACGTTCCTTTAAATATTAAAACTTGAAAATTGAATACAAGGTGTATCTTCTGTCTCTCAACATCCACGCCAAATTTCAAGGCGATCGATTGTAAACTTTTAGCAAACCGCTGCAAGAAACAAAAAATGGTCCCTCCGCAAAAAAGTTGGACGTGGCTGGTTTTTCAACATATTGCCATTTTTCAAAAACTGGCTATTTTCCGTGGATGCGGCGGCGCAGCGAGCCGCTCGCAAACTCTGGAACTATATGAATGCTATGATGCCAAGAGGGGGCATGTTCTACGGCGGCGGCTACAGAGCCCCCCCCCCCACCACCACCGCAAGGTGTTTTCAATTACTCTAACTTTGTGGTTGTTAGCGCAGAGAGAGAGAGAGACTACACTGGTTACTTATTTTATATGTCTTCCTATATTATATAGTTGTAAGAGTTAGAGCGAGGTTTTGCTCCCCCCCGCTCCCCCAAATAAGGTAGTTTTTCTTTCATTTTCTTGCATTTTTTAAGTAATCCTCCATTTTTTATAGCTCCCCCGCCCCCCACTCTCCCCCTCAATTTGGGAGTCTAATTCACTGTCACATTTTCGTTTAGAAATTTTGTAACTTTTTAAAATGAATTTAACGAAGTAAACGTAAATGAAGAAAAAATACCAATGGGCCAAAATTTTGGTTATAAAAAATTTAAAAAAATAAAACAATCAACTAACGATACTGTTAAAACAAAATCAATTCATATTTCTAACAATATCGTAATTTTTAAATTTTTTACGATGTTTGAAATCTTTCAATACGTTGTCGTTTTAAATATATAAAAATTAAGCATTAGTCAGGGAAAATAAAAAATGATTGTTAAAAATTTATGTAATTAGTTATGATCAATATACATTTATTACATATATCAATTTTAAGTAACAATTAATATAACTCGTATTTTTTTCCATACTTCGTAAATCTATATTTGCAATTACGGGGGTTGGTGCGCGGAGCGCGCAGGGGCAGATATAGTTAGAAGAGTTTAAAGCGAGGTTTTAGAAATATCTATTGATAGATACAGGATATACAGCTCATTTAAAAAAAAGGGCCACTAAAAGGAATAATAAAGCTCACCAAAAAAAAAAGTCAAGGGCACATCTCTCTTTCTATATAAACCACTACTTTTATTTGAAATTAGCAGCTTGTCCTTGATATTTCCTTAAAATCAGCCCAGTAATCATTCCTCAGCGTAGAACATGTATTCCCGAGTATTTTCGAAAAATGCCGTAGTCTTCCGAATTCTGTCAAATATACTTTAACATATTTTTTTTCCTACTAACAACTAATTTTATCACTTTTTAAGGCTTTATAAAATATCAATGCAAAGCTTATTTGAAAAAATTAGAGTTATTACACAACCAGGGGGAGGGGGTTGGGGCGCGAAGCGGAGCTTATATACATATAAATCTCTTCGAACGAGGCTCACTACATATTATAACTAATTGTGATCGAACAGGGAAGTTCGTTTGATCATACAAATATATTCCTTTACTGTACGATTTTTTCAAACAAATCTGGTGTAATTGTTAATAAGTATGATTTTTCGGTGTTTAAAAGCAGCTAAAAAATTGACAATAACTTGAGCGCCAAATTACAACAATGCATAATTTTTTTTTCATCAAAATAATTATGACAATTCGTTTTATCTCGTTGAGCCACCCCAAATTGTGAACAAAAGGATTTTTTTAGGTCAAAGAGAAGCAGAGATGTTCATAATTTTTTAAGTTCGCGGATCAATTTGGAAGTTACTCGTTCGGTTGCTGCTAAGCCGCGCTCTCTGAGCTGCCGCACTAGTCTGCTGCTCCCCCCCCCCCCCCACTCTGGCGCTGTTGCCAGTTTCAGCGCACTGAGCCAGAATGCTTCGAATTAATTTCATTTTAACAATAGTTAAAGGCCAGTAAATGATGCCGATAATAATTTTTTATTAAAACTTACCAATCTTAGCTGCAATATGTGTAAATTACAAATCAATCGGTTCATGAATAAGGGCACATGAATTTTTTGGAGAAAAAAAAATTGTTTCGGCTCCTGACTATGCTAAAATATTTTTTTTTTAATTTAAAAAAAATAGCAGTTATTCATTTATAAATAAGCAGAAGCTCTATTTTCAAAAATAATAAAGTTATATAGTTTTATACGTGTGTAGAAAACTATGATTGTTAAAAAAATCGCTATAAAATTGATTGTAATTAATTATTTTGAAAAATTTCAACAGGATGTTAAACTTGAACAGTTTTTTAAATGCTCTAGACCAGTAGGATTTAAATTAGACGACCGCAGAAACTTTTATACATTATAAAATTAAAAAATTTTATGCCTTGTAAGAAAAAAAAATATGATCGCTAGTAACTCAAAAAGTAAAAAAGCAATTGTCTTGGAATTTGGCAAATATGTTTGTTTCAGTGACAGCAACTCTCTAAGAATGTGATGCTTGTAGATGATTTTATTTTTGAGTTATTAAATGTTGAAAAAAAGCGCTTTTTCAACTTTGAATACTATTTGCGAGTTAACAATGACATATAAAATATCGCTGCACGTCTCGTTTTGTAGATAATTAAATCTTCTACAAGTTTTTATTGATCGTATGTACTGATTTATGCACCGGAGAAGAGATGCTACACAAAAAACTGAAAAAACTCCAATTTTTCCGTTTTATTGTTGATAAAAAAAATGAAGCAGAGATTTCATTTTATAGGAAACTTAGGACATTGTTATATGTATACACGTAAATGAACCAATTTTTAAAGAAAAAGTGGATTGAGGCGAAAAAAGCCAACATTTTTGTCTGACGTCTAGGCTAGAACAAAAACTTAATGTGGTTGTAAATGTACATACCAGTGTAACTGAAGGTATTCTAGTTATTTTTTAATAAGCAGAAGCAATAAGACAATGTAGGATAATGTGTATCAATGGGGCACTTTAACTTCAATCAAAATAATTATTAAAAAATTCGAGAATAATAAAATTATGTTTACGAAATTTCAAAAGTCAATCTACTATTTTCAATTTTCAAACGATAACTATATATTTTAGCACATATTTACATACATACATTTTTTGGCCGTGCTTCATCACCTCAGATATAAATTTAAAAAAAACTATCACTGTAGATTCAAAATATTCATCTTGGTTTTTTTAGTCATAACTTATCCTTTAATTTCATTGCATGTTCTAGTGTAAGGTTTTCCTAAGTAACAACATTTTAGAGGGATACATAAACATACATCTAGTAAATTTTTCGAGTTCGCGAGTATGTGTCCGCATAGCGTATATGGATCATTCTTTTACGAACCATAAAAAATTGAACAAAAAATGATCGACGTATTTTTAATTTGGCTGAAACTTTTTTTACGGGTTCTGTATCGAAAAAAAAGAGATATCTGTTCTAGGAATTTTTTTTTTTAATAGAGACGGTTTAAAATTTGAGATTTTAAAACAATGCCTGCAAAATGGTCTAAAATCTCATAAGGACAAAGTATTCGTAATAATGCTTGTTTTAATCCTTTTAAATTAACAAAATATTCAAGGAAAAAAATACTGAAATTGCGAGGAGTGAATGCAAGTCAATTAAATGCCATGAAAATACCAGTACCTAATGAGTCACTGAAACAAAAATCTGTGACTCCTGCCGTCTGCGGATCAATAAAATAAAAAAAGAAAATGATCCAGTTGAAATGAACAAAATTCTAAATTTACTCGATATATTTTACTAGTTGCTAATGTGGATTACTATTTTTACAGCCAGATAATATCAATATATCGTCATATGAAGACTCAGATACTAAAATTGGCAGTGGAGAAAGTTCAGGACCTTCTGCATGGTGAAAGTGCAATATTACAGACAGCTCGTGTTAAATTCTGTTTGCGTCTGTCCAGTACGTGAAAATGTTAAATTATTAATAGTTGGAGCCAATTTGAAATCAATTAAAGCTGATTCGCAAGAACCAATATCAAATTATCATAACTGCGTGTAAATCGTGTGTTATGCAAAGTTAAATCTACAAATTGTTTTTTGAGATTATGTTATGAGTGTCCTAGTGCAACAAATATTATCGAGCAATTGGAAAAAAATTTCGAAGATAAATTAATTGAAACTGTCAACTACAAACAGTAAATTGTTGCTACATTCTTTTTTAGTAAATAAGCAAAGAGAATTAATGAATAACAAAAAAATTAAATTGATGAAAATTGAATGCATTGTAATTTGTGGCTTTTCTGAAAACTATGTGCTTTTTATACAAAATTCTGTTTAAGGCATACATCGGATTAACGATTAAGTAACATTACATCTATTAATATATAACAACAATACATCTATTCCCTCTCTTAACTGCAAAAATGACAAAGACGAATTAAAAATTAAAACTTTTTTTTCTACACTTTTACAAAGGGTTAATAATTTTATCCGTACACCACAAGAGTTATTTGATTGTGCTACAGAAGCTCTACCAAGTACGTGTTGCTATTCAACCAATGACGAGTACAAAGAAGACAAAGAACTGTCAGCACATTATGAAAAAGCTGTAATGGTAAAAGGAACTTCAAAATATCATTGTATGATTCCAATCTCACTTCAAGAGTTGGAAGCGAAGCAATTCTCTTGGGATGAAAAAAAATATTGTAAAAATTTTTAAGTAAAAAATAAATATTACAATAATAACAAATATTTACACCAATATGATATTGAAATGAAAAATGTACACGTAGAATACTAATGAATTGAAATCTTAATATATCACATGTTTCTCTGAAATAATGTAATTGTTTATTTATTTTTCCCCCATTTTTTATGAAACTCTATTGATAAATAAATAATATTGTTCAACTGAAAATGTAAAACATACTCTACATACTATTTATGGGATAATCTAGAGAACACCAGTATGGTATTAGGCGAGAATATGAGGTGCACTTTGCGACTTGGAGCGCTGACGTCTAGTACCGCACCAGTTTATTTGATTTTTTTGAAATAGTAATAACTCTTTCTCCATTTATAAAAAAAAGCATTTTCGATGGAAAATTGAGTGTA